CGCTCCTATTTTCTCAGCGAATTAGGAAGCCAGGTCAGCAGCAGAAATTGAGGATAGGAGAGAAGGCGTGAGGAGGCTTCAACACAGAGGAGAAGGTGTGAAATAGTCTTCTAGGACAGTGTTTTTAAATTTCAGCTCATGACCTAATCATGGGTCTTAAAGTCAACCTAGTAATTTGAGATCAGTTTAGTGATTCAAAAAAGTAAATAGAATTTAAACACAGAGTTCGTTGCACATATTAAGAGTAAGGATTGCTTAATAAGAGCTTTGTTTCAGGTGCATGTGTGAATGTGTGTGTTCTGGGTTGTAGCAAAAATATTTTTAAAAGCAGTGGTCCAGGACAGTAGGAGGAAATGAACAAGGGACTATCAAGTAAGTCAGGAACTGAGTTAATGGTCAAATAGTTAATATATTTTCATGTGAAAAAGATTATAATATAGACTCTTAAGAACCTGACATTGGATCTGCCTGAGGGCCACAAGCCCTCCCCACGGCCCACCCATCCCCACCCCCACCCCCACTATAGGAAACCTTTCTGTTTCAATATTTTCAATGGTGGGAGCTCATCAGCTTAAAAATTTTAGAATTCACAATAACTTTTCTCTCTATAAAAAATGGGACCCTCACAACACTCTCTGAGATGTTAAAGGAATAAGTAGAAGATTGCAGAGTTGGCCTTTGGAATTTGCTGTACTGAATATGAAGTTTGACCTCATTACATAATTCCAAACTTGATGGCTTTTCTCCATTTTGGAGAGCTCTAAGTCCTTTAAAACAAAACCAGTATCAGAACACCAAGAAATCTTTCTGTTAAAACTTTAGCCAAGAATGGCACCACTTGGCTTTTGAATATATCGATCTCTCTCCTCCCCACATTGCATCAACTGCAATTTTAATGCATGATTGAGCTAAGTTTTGTGCCTCTATTTTCTCCCTGTTTCAAGATTTGCTGTTGGATCTGCAGATGATTCCAATCAAATATAACTTTACTTAGGAAAAAATTCATTCACTTTTAAGACTTTACATGCCTCAGTTGTTGAAATAGTTTTTCCCGTAAAACACATTAGCAAATAATAGTTAAGAATATGTCAATAGGTGCTGTGAAAATGGCCATTTATATTCTTAATTCTAATGAGCTCAGGTTATTTGCTAGACATTGTAATTTAGAATAATAAAAGTACTTTTCCAGTTCTATATTTTGCTTGTTAAAAATGGTTTTGAGATTATTAACTCGAACCAATTTTGTATATACTTGACCAACTTCTGAACCATTTATGAGTTTTCTTTTAAGTACTTTTTCCTTATTGTAAAGGCAATATCAAATAGTTCATTAGATAGGATATCAGACATAAACATTATACATTAAACGTATTTTCCTCTTGCAATGTTGTTCTCTTTCTACCGTATTTATTCTGATTTATATATAAATTTGAAACACTGAAGTAACAAAAGCAGAAATGAAATTTAATTATTTTATGAGGACTCAAAAAGGTACACTCTGCCTACACTAGTAAGAATGTGCTAATTTATAACACTATTTAGTCTTAGTCCGGTTGTAAATCAAAATCAAGTAGAATCTGAATCCACTTTCTGTTGCTTTGGGGATTCGTTTATGTTCCAGGACTCTCTCAGTAGTTTCACTTCTCTAAACGCCAAGAAAAAGTTAAAATTGCAAAACAGAAACATGAAATCCACATCTTCTTACATAGTAAGGACCACTCTGCTATTCGCTACCTAGACACATATTTTTATTTTTTCTCTATGTAAAATGTTTTTTGAGAAAGTACATACACAGGAGTAGTTCTCTTCTATTGCTTCCGAGAGAGCTCTACCATGGAAAGCTCTCTCCCCTCCCATTTTGCAAGCCTCAACAAGTCTGTTGCTGAGTCAGAACTTCCTTTTTTCCCTGATGTGAGAAATCTTTCTCCCTTGAAAATTCATAAAGCTTCGGAAATGTTTAAATTAGAGTCTCCCTGGAGGGAAGGGGCGGGGATGCCAGAATGAATGTGGTGGGGAGGAGTCCCACCCACAGCAGCCCCGATGATAGCACATTAAATGCTTTTATGAAGTAGGAAGACTTGGAGCAGGCCCAGGGTTACCATGGGAGCTCGCTTCGGAACCCATTATAGGCATATACGTGTGTAAATAACCACACGGAGCCGTGTTAGGTTCCAGGGACTTTGTTCCTCATTAATGAAGTGAAAATGTTTGGTATACAGCCGGGGCTTCATGTTTACCCTACAGAAAACACCTTCACGCAGCTGCAGGAAGGAGCGTGACAGCACGCAGCAAGAGAGGCTAAAAACGGAAACAAGCCTGAGAAGGCGCTTTCTAGGGCGACGAGGAGGGCTCCAAGTCGGGGACCCGGGGTGCAAGCGGTGAGGGGCGAACCGCTCGGCGGTGTGCAAGGCAGGCAGAGCCCGCACCGGCCAGCTGGCCAAAGGACCTCCGTGCCGAGCCGGGACGGCGGGAGGGGCCGGGGTCCCCGCTCAGCTCGCGCAGGGCAGGCCGCGCCCGGCCGCCTTGGCTAGGAGGCGCTCCCCGTCGGCTCCCCGGCCTCAGTTTCCCCCGTACACCAGCCCCGCCCGGGGAAGTCCCTGTCGCGGCGGTCAGGCCTCATGTGACTGAGGGCGGGGCGGAGGTGACAGAATGGAGGCGGGGCCGCGAGGGCGACGGGGCGGAGGGTGAGAGAGCGCGTGCGACCGAGGGCAGGCTTTCAGCGGACCCCGCGCGGGGAGGGGCCGTTGCCCAGGAACCGTCCGCGCCGCCCGCGCGTGCTCGCCCTTGTGCGCGCGCGCCCGGCGCTCAGAGCCCAGTTGGCCGCCCGCCTCCCTAACCGGCCTCTCTCTTTTCCCTGGGCGCGGGAGGGGCCCTAGGAGACGCGCCGCGCGCTCCCGCGCTCCCCCGCCCTCCCTGGAGCGCGAACGCGCCCCCGGCCTAGCCTGCATATTAATAAGGGGCGGGATGGGGGGCGGGGCAGCGGGGGCGCGGCGGCCTCGCGCCCGCGCGTGCCAGGACGCACCGCGGGGGGCGGTGCGATTGTGAGGTGGCGCTGACGCACGTTCCGGGGTTCTTAAGCGGCGAGGGCGGCGGCGGCAGCGGTGGCGCCCGAGCCGGTCTCGGGAGGCGGCGGTGACCGCCAGGAGGGGTGGCGGGGCTGAAGTCGGTGCCCCTGGCTCACTCACGGTGTCCCTCTCTCACTGACTCCCCCTCCTTCCACCACGGCCGCGCCGCCCCAGATCTGGCGGCTTCCTAGGCGGGGCAGCGGACGGGGCGCGTCTGCTCCCGCCGCCGCCGGCCCGATAAATGAGGGACTTCGGGTTTGGGGTGCTGCGGACAGCCCCGCTCCGAAGCAGCAGCCCCAGGTCCCTGTTCAGTGGCGGGGCGTACTGTGCCTACGCCGCGGGGCCCGCCGCGGCCGCCGCCCCGCTGCCCTCCGCCACGCCCTTCGGCCCCCCCCCCCCCCCCCC